TAAGAAAGTATTGACCGGACATTTCAAATCGAACCAAGAGGAAGGCCCAAAGTAAAGCTGGATTTCATAAAAGCGGAGCCACTGCAGAGAAGGCCCTGCCCTGGGGTCCATGGCAGACCTCAGCTCTCAGGAAGACACTTCGTGGTACTCTCCCCCAAAGAGTCCCCCAAAATGGGGGTGCTCAGGTAGGAAGATGTTCCTGGAAGAACCACTGCTTGCCCCAGGATTCAGGCTCTTCTCAAAGCAAGAACCGGCAACTACTGCATTCAACTCACCATAGTCCTCTCCTGAGTCTGAGGGGAGCTCAGCATCTGTTGGAAGCTCTAAGGAAAGACAAGGAGAAAGGGGAGGTGAGGTTGGCAAGATACGTAAACTGCCTCGGAGTTTGAAAAACCTGAGGGTCAAACACCTTTGGAGCGCACCAAAACATCTTCCGGCATTTGGAAATGTTATTCTACTGGTCAGTGGCCGTGCTGGCTGAAGGATTCTGGGAGATGGAGCCCCAAAATCCTCTTCCAAATTCTTCCACCTTGTACCATTCAAGCTATCATACTTCAGTGGTTTTAGGCATCTGGCTGTAGAGCCATAAGTTGCAAGTTTGATTCCCCACCGTGTCTACTTGACAGGCTGGACTCAAGGATCCATAAGATCCTTTCCAGTGCTGAAGTTCTAAAATGATGATGACGGTGGTGATTTTATTATTCAAACACACCAGGTACAGTCAATCAAAAGTATAAAAGCATTGACAGGTATTATACAACAGATACAAGTTTTAAACAAAAAACTATGTATCTGTTAAGTATTAATGTAGTATATATACTGTTCCTAATATTGCTGTTTCTTTATAGCTCTGATTATCTTATTCTTGAAATCTGCAATTGCTTACAATACTGTGTGAAATTTATTGATATTATTCCCTAGGCCCCGGTGAATATGGCGACCAATGAAGTGCTTTTCATTCACAAGCAAGATATTTCAGTTGGTAGGACTCCGAATTTTGTTGTTTCCCAATTCTTTATTTTCAACTCTGTCATCCCCTGGAATTCTGGGAGCAGTAGTCCAAAAACATAAATCTGTGTAAGTCTAGGAGAAAGCATGTGCTCTCAGCTACACCCACTCCCAAACACACTGTCCTCATCTCTGGTGGTCTCCTCCCCAAAGTGCAACCTGGCGCCGGAAAGACAAAGATGGAAAGCCCAATGGCTTCTTCGTTCCTTCTTCCCTCACCTGGTTCTGTGGAACTGGGAGGGGCCAGCCTCTCCCTGCGCCGTCTCTTGTGGAGCCACGTTGAGATGACCACCGTCAGGACGTAGAAGATGTACAGCCCAAGGTAGCCTGCCAAGGAGAACATGTTACAGTCTCTCCCAGGCCTTCCTGGTTCCTATACACATTAAAGATTGAAGCTCTGGGAAAGGGTTATGTCCATGCAGGGAGTAGGCCATCTCCGCTTCAGAGAATGCAAAAAGCTTCATCTTTCAGGAGGTTTTCCCCACCTGCCCCTTCCCAATCACACACACAAAGCAAAAAGCAAAGCATGCTGCTTATATGCTATCTCATAGCGCTTAAAACACTGTCTGAGCAATTTGCAATTTCCTTATGCAGGCTAAACATTGTACACACACCCAGTGTACTTGATTGATCAACCTCTGAAGGATGGAAGACTGAGTCAAACTCCAAGCTAGCTACAGATCGAACTCAGGTGGTGAGCAGAGTCTTTGCTGCAGGACTGCAGTTTAGCCACTGCACCACAAGGTTCATACACAGAGGCACGCATGCCCAAATATGCTCTGAACCAGCATGGCCAATGTTCAGGATGACTGGAGTTATTCCTGACAACACCTGAAGGGTCACATGAACCCTTGGCCTGACGGGCCAAAGCATTTCTGCCTGTGGTCCAGAGACCTTACTTACTCAAGGCTTCTCCCAGGGTGACCTGCTCAAAATAGAGGGCCACAAACGTCAGGAAGACCGCCACCATGTAGAAGACGGCATCTCGCAGGAACGGCCTGGAGGCTGCTCTGAAGGGCCGCACCAGGGCGATACCACCGGCCACAATGGTGGTGACAAAGATGCCGGCACCTGAAGAAGAGGACAGGCAGGATTACTCTCAGGTAAAGCAGGCTGAATCTCTCTCTCTCTCTCTCTGTCACTCCTACTGACTTCTTCCTACACATAATCTAGGCATATTAGTTACTTTGGGCCAAATGATCTGGATCCAGTTGCAAGAGGAAGTGATTAATACTGAAACTAGGATTAGATTCATCTGTAAATTTCAATTTCTCCTTCTTCCAATTTTAAGTTCTTTCCGTCCCATTTCCATCATCGGTTATAACTTTTTTTTAAAAAACTGTATTTTCCCCTGTATAAAATGACACTTTTCCCTAAAATTATTAGAGAAAAAATTGAGGGTCGTTTTATACAGAGTAGTAAGGAGAGGGGAGGGATCAAAGCGCTTTGATCCCTGCTTTCCCCTCCACTTTTTGCAAAGAAAGTGAAAAGCGATTCCTGCTTTCCCCCTCCACTTTCTTGTGAGCAAACAGCTTTTTGCAAAGAAAGTGGAGGGGGGAAGCACTTTCCTTGCAAGAAAGTGGAGGGGGGGAAGCGATTCCTGCTTTCTCCCTCCACTTTCTTGAGAGGAAAGTGATTTCCCCCCTCCACTTCCTTTGCAAAAAGCTGCTTTCCCCCTCTACTTTTTGCGAGGGGAAAAGCACTTTCTTCCTAAGAAAGTGGAAATGGAAAGCAGGAATCAAAGTGCTTTGATCCCTGCCTTCCCCTTCCACTTTATTGCAAAGAAAGAAATCTTGGGTTAGAACAGTGGGGGACATCTTATACATGGAAAAATATGGCAATTGCATGAAAATAAATTGATTGATTGGCATTGTATCCACCCCAACAGTGCAAAGCACTACTCTGGACAGTTTACAGCAAATTAATGAAACACATTCAATCCATTTTCATGTGCACTTCTGCAAACACTGTACCCATGTCTATTTTTATTTGCACAATTTCCCCTATCTTATGCATTTTTCTGTTGGAGAAGCATATTGTAAGCTTTGGAGAAATGTGAATACCAACTGAGCGCATTAGGAAGTGCGAATTTCACACTCAAAAGGCAAACCAAAGGCCTCCCTGACCCTACCATAGAGAGGCTTATCTGATTACAAGAGAAAGGAGGAAGTTTTCCAGGGAGAAAGTGAAAGAACAGAAAGCGATCAATCAAAGGCCGAAAAAGGAAACAGAAGGAGGATCACAGAAGGCAGTCTGACTAAGAGTCCTACCAATTTGGACGGCCATACCAAAAAGAGCTCCAATAGCAAGGCCAGCTGTCCGTGGGTCAGAGAAAGCCACCACTGCGCTGAAAACATCTGGGGCGCCATTCCCGAAGGCCAGAAAGGTGACACCATGGAGGAGAGTGTTAAGGGAGAGAAAAAACACACATCAGGGCAGTTTTTAAATAGGTGAGTGGCTTGATTCCACTGCTCTAGTGCCAAAGCTGGGGGGCAGAAGGGGAATTCCTGTTTGTACTACAATTCCCAGAATCCCTCAGGCACTGTAATCCAAACACTACCTCTTCCAGGTCCCATGTGGTGGACCCAACATTCACTAACCAAGCCTAGGCTCTATTTATTTAAAACATTTACAGCCTGCTCTATATTACAAGATCTCTGGGCAGGTTAAGAGAGCTGTACAGAACAATTTAAAAAACATAAAATCAATTCAAAATTAAAACAGTTTAAAACACATACAGTGGTGCCTTGCAAAACAGACACCTTGCGGGACGAAAAAACCGCAAGACGAATGGTTTTTTCGATCGCTACGGTGCCTCGCACGATGGCTTCTTCTATGGCCGTGTTTCGCAAGACGTTTTTTTCTCCCTGAGACTGATGCTTCGCAAGATGAGAAAAATTCATTTGTCTTGCGAGGTTCCCAGAGGGATACATTGCAATGTATTCCTATGGGACACTGCTTTTTGCAAGACGATTTTTTCGCAAGACAGCACTACTCGCGGAATGAATTACATTCGTCTTGCGAGGCACCACTGTACAATTAAAATATTAAAACCACTGCATTAAATTCTGTGCAGGCCAAGATCTCTAACCTCCTAAAGAACTAGTAAATACAGTAAGCATGTTTTGACACTGAACCAAAATGATGCCAATATGGGCACCAATCAGACCTCCAAAAGGAGGACATTCTCCAGTTGGGGTGCCAGAAAACCCTCCCCCAGGTCTCCCTATAATGAACCATACTCAATGGAGGGACCCAAACCCCAACGGATCTCAGTGATCGGCAAGTTGATCTAGGGAGAGGCATTCCTTAAAACAGCCATTCTCCGTCGGGGCCAGATGGCGCCCAAGGTGGGGCTGGCCCCCTGGAAGAGGGGGCCACAGACTGAAAACAGTTCTTCACACATTACCCTCATAAGGTTCATTATATGATTTATACAATCCTGATTTGGTCTGTATTTCTTTCATATTGTGTTTATGGCCATGGCCAAAAAAACAAACAAAACTGTTCCACCTTAAAACATTTAAATAGGTAGAATCAGCACCAGTGGGACAATGTCTCATTTAAGCTGGGCCTTGCCTCTGTGCTTTTTATAGAGATAATTAACTATAGAGTTCTTAAGACAATCTGTCTCATGGATGAGTTAGGAGTTACCACACAATTACACTGACCACACACTTTGATTAAAATGTTTTGGCCCTGGGTTCTAACACTCCACTCCCTCTTGTCCCTTCCAGGTCTCATTCTGCATTTGATACGGGATAACAGATACTCCCACAGGGAACTCCTCCTCCAACCCACACCTTTCCATTCCACACAGAAAAAAAAAATCCATGGAAGGATATTGCCACATTGTGGGCCAGCTTCAGCTTGGTAGAGATAGCAGACAAGTTAGGGCAGAAGCTAAAGGAGGGAAAAGAAAAGAGAACCAGTTGAAAATTTGTGTTATTCTGACTCCCGATCTATCAACTTCATATAGCCAATTCTCTCCTTCTGAGCTCAGTTCTTGGATTTAAGAGCCAAGGCAGAGAACCTTCACCCTGTGGGCCCAACACAGCCTGTAGGCTCAGCCCTTCAACCTACAAGCTTGTTTTAATATTATATCTGTTAAGCAGGAAGAGACTGTTGTTGCATGCCACTGAGCTCTGCTTTGCCAGCCTGTGAAGCTGTTGCATGGAAACTAAACAGTGCTTTGCAGGCCAGAAAGGCAATGCACTGGTTAAAAGGGTTGAAGGAATAAGAATTACACCTGCCTCCACCCACTTTGTGTTGGTTCTGTTTGGGCCCTTCATTTTACCCACTGAGTTTGATGCCCTTCTGAAACTGATATTCAGCCCCGGGACCAAAACTGTTCCCCACCCCCCACCCCAATGGACAGCATGGAATGAACAAAAGCAAAGTAAACCCAACAAAGACAACAAAAAGAGCAATCATCAAGTTGGGCCCTACAATATGAAATAAATGATCGACCAAATGCCTTGAATTTTAAGTTGGATGGAGAACATGGCAAGGAGACGACCTCACTGTGGAGCTGTGTGTCATGAGTGCAGCTGAAGACCTGGAACCAGAAGGGTTAACTGAGGCTGAGGAGAATGCTGAGCAATCAGAAACACCTGAATCGCCTCCAGATTCTCCTTCCTCAGCAGACAAGCTTCGGGCCAGGCTTCAGGGAAGACTAACGGCAAAAAGGTCAGAAGATCGCTTGAAGGCTGTCCACAGAAACATCTGTTCAACTAGCCCTGAGTACTGACAGGATGGAAAGGTTTCTAGCAGCTCAAGGGGCTGTTTTACTATAAAAAAAACAGCTCCTAGTCAGCAAGAATTCCGTGGAAGCAACAAGTCGAAACCTCTGGCTTGCATCCACACTCCTACAACCTTGCATCGTGTTTCCTGAACTCCTGACTCTAGACTCAGACTTTGGACTGCGTTGTATGTTTGACTCTGGACTATGACCTTGGACTACGTTCTGTGAGTTGGTTGGTAATTAGATATCGGCTTTGCATTCCTAGTATTCCTGACTTTGGACTGGCTTATTGGGTCTCGGCTGTTGTAACCCCTGGGAACGTGACAGTGTGCATCATGAGATGCTCTCCCTTCCATGTTCTCCATGAAGCTGTGCTTCACGACATCTGAGCGTTCAGCCTGGAGGCAGGCAGTGCATCACGGCCTCTCCCAATTTGAAGAGACCCTTGTCCAGCAGGCCGAGGCAAAGCGGCAGTCCCGAAACCAGCAAAATCAGGGAGCTGGACAGGGGACAGATTGGATTTGTCTTCAGTGTGGAAGAAATTGTCACTCTCGAATTGGCCTTCTCAGCCACATTAGACGCTGTTCCAAGACCTCTATTATTCAGAGCACGTGACCATAGTCTCTTGAGACTGAAGGATGCCTACTACAGTGCTTCATAGAATCATAGAATGATTGAGTTGGAAGGGGTCCTAGAAGAGAATCAAGTCCAACCCCCTGCTTGGTGCAAGAATCCAAATCAAAACAGATCTTACAGATAGTTTTGATTCTCTTGAAAGCCTCCAGTGCTGGAGTGCTCTCACCCCGAGGTCACGGGGTTCCATTGTCATACTGCTCTAACAGTTTAGAAGTTTTTCCTGACAGTCAGCCCATTATATTGTGTCCTGAACTCTGGGATGATTGAGAACAGATCCTGCCCCTCCTCTGGATGACTAATTTCCAAGTTCTTGATGTGCTTGTTCAAAACAAGGCAGACTGCTTAGTTCATGGTGATGGGCGGGTTTCATCTCCACCGCCAAACACTGTCCATAAACGCAGCACTTTGTTTTTGCCAAGCAACCATTTCCGATCTCACTGCTCTTTTTTTATATATATAACGATAATCCAGAGCTCATCCGGGTTACTTACAACTTCTCGGCTGTCACTCCAAGAATAACAAAGAGGTAAAGCAACCAGAGAATCTGCAAGGAAACAAGAGAAGTCAGGGTGTCATGAAAACTGGGAAGAAATTTCCCCAAACAATGCCCCCAAGATCAGTTGTTCCTGCTAAAAGTCAAAAGTTAAAACTGACTTTGATAACTCATGATTATTTATTACGAATGTTTACAACTCCAGTATACCTACGCACACATCCTTTTGTGTGCGTAGGTATACTGGACTTATAAACCTTCTTAATAAATAATCATGAGTTTTGCCAAGCAATCATTTCCTATCTCACTGCTCTTTTTTATATATAAAGTTCGATGATCCAGGGCTCATCCATATATATATATGGAGGGATGTGTGTGTAGGTATACTGGAGTTGTAAGCCTTCTAAATAAACGGAGCTCTACCAGCATATGAATGCACATGCAGAGGCTTTTTCCATGGGGACAAATTCCCTGATCAATCCTATGCTGGTACAGATTCCATCTTGAGGTACATCGAGGATGAAGGGCATTTGGGCTTCCAGGCACTGTGGGGTGGCAAACACTATGAACCTTCACCACAATCTTATACTGCCTAGGTATGGTAGGAATTAAAAAACTAAGAAAACGGCCACTGGTCCCATCACCTCCTGCCAAATTGAAGGGGAAGATAGGGAGGCAGTGACAGATTTTACTTTCTTGGGCTCCATGTTCACTGCAGATGGAGACAGCAGCCCCGAAATTAAAAGACGCCTGCTTTTTGGGAGGAAAGCGTTGACAAATCTAGACAGCATCTTAAAAAGCAGAGACATCACCTTGCCGACAAAGGTCCACATAGTCAAAGCTATGGTTTTTCCAGTAGCGATGTATGGAAGTGAGAGCTGGACCATAAAGAAGGCTGACCACTGAAGAATTGATGCTTTTGAATTGTGGTGCTGGAGGAGGCTCTTCAGAGTCCCCTGGACTGCAAGGAGAACAAACCTATGCATTTTGAAGGAAATCAAACCCAAGTGGTCGCTGGAAGGACAGATCCTGAAGCTGAGGCTCCAAGACTTTGGCCATCTCTTGAGAAGAGAAGACTCCCTGGAAAAGACCCTGATGTTGGGAAAGAGTGAAGGCCAGAGGAGAAGGGGACGACAGAGGATGAGATAGTTGCACAGGGTCACCGAATCGACCAACATGAATTTGACCCAACTCCGGGAGGCAGTGGAAGACAGGAGGGCCTGGCGTGCTCTGGTCCATGGGGTCACGAAGAGTCGGACATGATTTAACGACTAAACAATAACCACATGGTAGGAACTGAAGTCCAGCAGCTCCTCCCCCTCCAACCCTTAGTGGACGTGCAAGCCCTTTCACTCTGAGTTAAAGGTATAAAAGGCAATGGCCTTTCAACACCAACACTGAACGGCAACTTTTCTGCTCCTTGCTGCTCTCCAAGTGGCTTTTTGCCTTGACCCAACATATATCCTGAAACCGCAGCACCTTCACTTCCTCCTTCCAGAAAAGACGGTTCACAAGAGTAAAGTAAAAAGAAAGAGACCATCCCTTGCAAATAACAGGAAGTGCTCCTTCATACCAGCGCCTACTTAACACTGGAATTCACAGCCACAAGATGTAGCAAAGGCTGCCCACCTGAACACCTTCCGAAGGGAAGTGGATGTGTTTGTGGAGGGTTAGAGCCATCAGGGCAGCTTTGTCTCCACCACCACCACGATCAGACGCAAGATCTGTCTCCACATCAGTTGCTGTGGGAAATGAGGGGCAGGGAACCTAGGCCTCCAGGCCCTACTGGGGGGCTACCTAGAGGCCAGAACGCTGGACCAGACAGGGTTTCGTTGGCTTCTGTGTGGCTCCTCTTCTGCTTGCCTGACCCAACTACTTTCCCACATCTCTATTCCATGAGCTTTTCTCCTCAGGATGTGGTGTCTGGTTGCTCAAAACTTTACCACCACCACATCATGTTTCTAGACCCTATGGTACATGCTGGGGGAGGATGGCAGCCGGGCCCTGGAAAAATGACCTGCACATGTGGGTGCAGCCTGTCCTGCATCCCTTAAGCTGCCTCACTATTCTCTAGTTTTGTTGTTGCTGTTTAGTTGTTAAATAATGTCTTACTCTTCATGATCCCATGGACGAGAGCACGCCACGCCCTCCTATCTTCCACTGCCTCCCGGAGTTGAGTCAAATTCATGTTGGTTGCTTCGATGACACTGTCCAACCATCTCATCCTCTGCCGTCCCTTTCTCCTCCTGCCTTCACACTTTTCCAACATCAGGGTCTTTTCCAGGGAGTCTTCTCTTCTCATGAGATGGCCAAAGTATTGGAGCCTACGCTTCAGGATCTGTCCTTCCAGTGAGCACTCAGGGCTGATTTTCTTTAGAATAGATAGGTTTGATCTCCTTGCAGTCCAGGGGACTCTCAAGAGTCTCCTCCAGCACCACAATTCAAAAGCATCAATTCTTTGATGGTCAGCCTTCTTTATGGTCCATCTCCCACTTCCATACATCGCTACTGGAAAAACCATAGCTTTGACTATTTGGACTTTAGTTGGCAAGGTGATGTCTCTGCTTTTTATGATGCTGTCGAGGTTTGTCCTCTCTAGCTTTACCATTTAATTAATGATGGGAGACAACAAAGCGAAAAGGTACCCAGCCCACACCTCCTCCCCAAGCCCTCTAGCCACTTCCAGCTATCGGCAGATCATAAACCCTGTCCTACACTCCTAAACGACTGTGGCTCATGGGTGATGACCAACACCGATCCACTGCAGGAGCTTCAATAAACATTAACTGCCAATGAGGAGGAGGATCTCTCAGGCAGTAGGACAGTATCAAGAGAGGTGAAGGATGCAGCCTGGTTGGCCTCTGCATGTGAAGTGAGGAGGTGCCATTTTGTTCTTTACCTCAGGCAGCAAAATGTCTTGGGCCAGTCCTAAGACCAGCCCACCAAGCCCAGCTCCTTCAGGTGGCTGGGAAGCAATACAGAAGAACACTGCACATGTACAACACCCTGGGAGCAATTCAGTGCTCATGGCTCTCCCCTGTGGAATCCTGAGACTTATAGTTTCCGTTCTAGACCCTTTTTCGGTTCACTCTTTGTTCTGTACGGCATCTGAGAAGCCCAAGTCCCTCCTCCCTAAATGACAAATCCAGGCACAGCCCTGGTAGTTAAAAGGGGTATATGACGGCTATAACTGTGCAGATGCGCTCATACAGCCTCCAGTACCAGAAGCAAAACAAAACTATCCTGGTTTACCATATTTTTTCCATGTATAAGACTATACTTTTGTCTATAATCTTTAGACTAAAAATTGAGGGTCGTCTTATACACGGAAGTAAGCTGAGGAGAGAACATAAACAAGCACAGGGGAAAGCAGGGATCAAAGCGATCCTGCAGCACTTTGATCCCTTGCCCCCTACACTAGCTAAGCCCCACTTAGATTTCTTAATTTTGGATTAGAAAAGTGGGGGGGCGTCTTATACACAGAAAAATATGGTAGTTAGTGGAAAGCAAAGGTTAAAGACATATCATATGGTAGCCATGGGCATCCTTTGTCGCCTCTTGGTCAAACCCTTACCTCACCTGACACAGCCCTCATTTTGGTACATGAGGCCAGGTCCAAGGTCCACCATGCCCTGGTATATGCAAAACCCCCAAAGGTGGCAGTCTAGACGGGATTATTCCTCGAATACTAATATACCTGCCTCCCCCACCAGTCATCTTTCAGGGGTGCCCTCCTAGAGATCGCATAATATCTGCAAAATCTTATGAACCAAAGAAAGGCGGGGTCAATGAGAGGACTCCTAACCCGCCCCATCCAGCTAGCCATCCAGATGGACCCCAAACATGTTGGTTCTTACGTAGAGAACCACAGCCAGAGGTTGCAGAGAATGAGGGAAGACACAGAAGACTCCGTTGAGGTAGTTGAGAAACCCGTCGTCTATCTTGCAGTCCGGGTTGTTCTGGATGAAGGTGCAGCGTCCAGAGCCGTTCTGCTTCTTCACTTCCCTACACTAGAGGGGAAGGGAAGGGAAAGGAAGGGAAGGAAAAGAGTGGAGGAAGGAGAAAGAAAGAAAGAAAGAAAGAAAGAAAGAAAGAAAGAAAGAAAGAAAGAAAGAAAGAAAGAAAGAAAGAAAGAAAGAAAGAAAGAAAGAAAGAAAGAAAGAAAGAAAGAAAGA